GGCCTGCAGGGGGACAGCGTCTGCGGCTTGGCGTGCCCCGGCGGACGGCTGCTCCCCTGCCACCTGCCCCGAGCCTTACTTACATGGCTCGAGTCACTCGGTCCAGGTTTTCATCTTCGGCTCCTTTGTCTACTACAGCCTTGCTAAGAAAGATCCGTTTAGGCATCAGAAGCAGAAAAACACATTTGTTCCTTATATACGTGTATACACACGTAGTAGGGTATTAAAAATATTTAGGGTAGGATATTAAAAATACACACAATAAATATATATACATAACATACATACATATATACAGTGTGTGTGTGTGTGTGTATATACACACACACAGCCATATATATTATATATATGCGCATGCATATATATTACACACAGGCACATAATGCCATATACCATATATTATGCACCTACATTATGCACATCTAGATATACACACACATTAAAATGTCCATTATGCATGTATGTGAATACAAAAATATCCATATATATGCATAAATACAATTTTCCATTATATGTGGATAATAATTTTTGTTTTCATATATGTATAATCAACATTTTAATGTGTGTATATATAATGTACAATTAATATGTGCGTGTGCACGCATTCCATTATGTACACACAATAATGCCATGCTTTTTTTTAAATAAAGCTTCCTATACATCTAACGTGCTATTGTTTTAGATAGACAGTGTGGCATTGGTCAAAAAAGTAAAATGTCCTTTATTTAGACAGCTAGTCATTGCTAAAAACAGCTCAAGTTTTCATCTGATTAGAACTGCAATCAGTCTTCTTTCTGCTTTGCTAAATACTTTACATTGTTAGCCTCACATTTTTAAAAACTAAGCATTACAAAAACCTTGTGCTGTAATAAGATATAATCTTGTCAATCCAAATGCCATCTCTGAGGACATAATTTACTTCCAAATAAGTCAGCACGCAGAAATATCTAAAAAAAACAAGAGTATGCTAAATTTTTAATACCCTACTTACATCTTGTTCTGCTAATATCGTGACCTCTCAGACTAAATCCTTTCTATGACCATCTGTAATTGCTTTTAACTGGAGTCTATGTCTTGCCTCAAGCATAGATTAAATTATCAGTGGAATTATGACTTCAAAATACTGATGCAGTTTTCCCATTTGGCACAAAATAGGTAGACTGATCCTTTTTGAACCACTTGTAAATTTTTATGCTATTAGAGAAGCTGAAGTGTTTCCCAAAAGGGAAAACAAAGGTTTTGAAGGATGCTATCAGTGCCAAATTAGTATTTCTCTGCTGCATATGCATTCATTAAATCACTGGGTTGCTCTGCAAATTATCACACTGTTGTCAACACTGTCATTAATAAGGAATTTAAGTTCTACTTAATGAGAAATTTAAATTCTGCAGGAGGAACCTAAATTCCACTTAATTCCAACAACATGCTGAAATTCAGTGCATTTGTTAAAACCTTGTTAAGTAAGTGCTAATGCCCAGAGGTCTCATGTCAGGACCAGAATCTGTGCGCTAGCTCTGAAGAAAAGGTACCACAGAAGGACAGTTCCCCAGGAACCTGCAGTGCAAAGTCCCAGTTTTGCAAATATAGTAACACAGGTAGAGCCCTCTGCCTACACAGAACCCACTGACTTCGGGGTTCTGTACTCTGGGCTTCTATCCATTCTGCATCAATTGTTCAAATTGCAGGATCAAGGTAAAAACCAGGAAAAGATGCATCAAGAACACAATAAGAAGGCAGAGAAAGAGAGATAAAAAGGTGGCACTTTCCCATGGGTTACAAATAAAATCGATTTGCTCTGTTTAACTACTGAATTTGTCTTGAGCAAACACAAAAAAAATCATTCATTGATTCTTTTTATACTGTAGTAACACTCGAAGAGAACAGAAAAGAATGGGGTCCTATTGGCCTTAGTATTTTACAACTGTGTAGGAAAATATTTTACTTTGAAGAAAACCTACCATACAGTGCGGGGCAAACTATTAACCAGTCACTAATAGGGGATTGCCTAGTGGCGGCTGATATTACAGTTTATACTATACTTATATTGATCCTGTAACTAAGCACTTGTTCAAAAGTTAAACCATTGTACACCAGGAGTTCAAAATAAAAAGAGCATAAAAGCCAGTCATACTTTCTCCTTGAAGTTATGCTAGTTTTCCTCCACATAATTGAGAAATGATCATTTCAAAACCAACTTCCAACCTATCTTGGGTCAACAATGTCCTGAGTCCTTACAATTCAGGAGACTAAATCTTAAGTTTCACGGTATAAAAATATCTGGTAAGCAACACACTATTCTTGCCGCTGTTGTTTCCTCTTGGACATGATGATGAGCAAATTTTAGTAACTGAAACACACCCAGCTAGTATGGACAGCCAATAAAATAATTATAAGAAAAACATCACTTCTCCTTTGAGAAAACAAAAAGTAAAGGCCTGTAAGCAAAACCATGAGAACTGGGAGAGCTACTTCATTTTTTTAACCAAAGCAATCCTCCACTAAATACACACACAGTCATAAAGTAGGCAGAAGGTCCATGTTTTACTCCTGAAAAGCGGTGCCTAACCAGTTTGCAGTTTTGTAATACAAAAAGACATGTAATCAGATCTGCAGGAAACCTCAAACAGAATCTTTCCCAGTTTACTGGAAGGTCTTCTAGGCTCAGCCTCTACACAATTTTTGCAGAAGAACTTTTTGTTACAGGAATAACTATTTACTGTAATACCTATTAATACCAGTCCACCCTGCTAATAAACTGGAATAAGGCCAATTAGCATTATTCCTCCTGATAGAAATAAACTACACCTTACTGTACCATACTACCTGCCTTGTAGTATTATAGTTATGGCACCCAAATACTCTAATACCTAAACTAAATGGGTGAGATGATCAGTTCTTAGACCAGGATGTTAATTAGTCTCCCATGCTCAAAACATGTTAACAGTTTTATAAAGTAAGGATTTTTCGCTGGTATATTTTATTGGACCAACTTTATAACTTAGAAAGGTGCTGGGCAGCTTCTCAGACTGAAAGTACCCTTTTTCAGCTCTGAGAAAGAAGCAGACACAAGTTAAACAACAGGAAAATACTGGTTTGTGTTCAACTCAGCTGGACAAAAACTTACTTCTGTTTCAGTTGCTTGATTTTTGCTTTCTTATGTTGATGACATCATCTTAGGGCTAGTCATACTGCAACCGGAAGATGCAAGTATGACACAGGTGGGTGATACCTGAACTAGCTTTAATTTGGCAGGGTAGCAAGGATAGTGAAGACATGGCAGCATGGACCTCAACGCATTGTACAAGCTCACTGAGAAAGGACCTTAATTACTAAAGCTGCTAGCCAATACTGATATCTGTTACCAGGTCATGTCTATTGTTGCTACCTGTGTTAGACAGATTAAAGATAGCTTAGCTGCCTTGCCTGTACTGCAGTCAGACTTTCCAATTGTAATGCAGATCTACACTTTCAAGGGTATGCCAGTATTTCAATATCTGTAAAGCAGTACCAACTGTAAAGTGCTACGTAGAGGACAACTTATATAGTCAAAAGTCTTCAGTTATATAATTTAAGAGTAATGCCACAGATGGAATAAGCTGTAACAGCAAAAGTATGCTTGCCTGCATAGCTGCATTAATCTATATTGCCAACGTAGGTACATTAGGGATATCATACTCTTACCACAAGCCTCATCTGCTTGAAATATAGTCTATTAAAAATAGCAGAATTGCTAAACCTGGTTCAGTCACTTTTGTATGCATAAGACTGGAAAATGCGATACAGATGGTTCTGCCAGTCAAGTTGTAAATTTCAGAGATGCTCCTGCCAGGCTAGGCTCAGCTCAGAGAGGCAATAGTAGTGATAAGGATGGTTCCCCCTCACTGTTCCTGCTTCTGGGTGGACTGTGCAGGGTGTGGGAACCCACCTGTCATGCAACCCACTGCTACTGCTGCTGTCCTGTCACATTCAGAACTGATCCCAGGCCCTGTACAGCCCAGTTGGACCAGGCAGGAGTGGCTCTAGAGCAGGAGTTGGCAACCCCTGCCACACATGCCAGTGCACAGCACATGAAGCCATTTTGCTCAGTATACCACAGCTCTGGGTAAGGCAGCAGGGAGCCTGCAAGCCCTACAATGAGCCATGCCAGGGCTCTGGACCCTTTGTAGACACTTGCAGCCTTGCAAGCAGCCTGGGCCCCTGTCCCATGCCCCTGCCTCCTGCCACAAAACCAGAGCTATTTGCAGCAGGTGGCAAGCCCTGCCGTCAGCAGCTCAGGCTCCATGGTGTAAGTCAGGGGCCTGCCCAGCGGATTGCTTGCACCAGGCAGCAGAAAGGCTACAAGCCCTGCTGTGAGCAGCTTGGACGCTGTGGCAGGCATCAGAAGCCTGCCCAGAGCCTGGCCTGCTTGCAGCAGGCGGCCACAAGGCTGCAAACACCTACGCAGTGGTCCAAACCCCTAGCTCAGCTTGTTATTGGCAGCGGCTGCGTGCATGTCTCAAGGAGCACAGCAGGGCAGGAGCCAGGGCTATGTTGCCCCAACAAGGATCAGACCCCTCACAGCTCTCCCACCATCTACCCCCAGCATGCCAATATCTTATAAGTGGAGGGTGCAGGGGTTTTGGCACTGAACCCAAAAACGTTGCCAACCCCTGCTTTAGAGCTTCCCCCAACCTGGGAAACCAGTGAGGAAACAAGTAGGAGCAGATGGGGGAAGAGGGAGAAGGGATTGGGAGGGGCATGACTCAGACAATAGAGAGGAAGGGAGTGGGATTCTTGCTTGCTTTTGGGCCTTTAAAAAGTTCCAAGAGGCTCCCCCTGCTTCGTCTGCCCATGGGGGGGGGGGGGGG